TTATTTCTGTTGTGATATAGGGCTATACAAGAATAAATTGTATTGTAAATTGTATTGTATTCTGTATTGTATTCTTTATTTTATTAGAGAAGATCTCGTCAAACTGAGGGCTGCGTGAGGGCTGCTTCTCTGCTTTTGCAGTAGCATGTGACATTTTACATTGAATGTATTGTGTTGTTTTCTGAGATAATTTTCTTCACACAGTTTTAAGAATAAGTATCATTGGGCAGATTTATTTCTCAACATTAAAAAAGTTTAAAGAAAAAGTGAACCATCTTGACTCATAGCAAAGGCACAGGTCCCATCTCACAGTGTCCCCTCCTCACACTGTTTCTGATACGCCGAACAGCAGAATTTGTCGTCCGGGTCAGTATCAGGTTCTGGCAGAAAGGAGGATTTTGTGTGCCTGTAGCAGAGGAAAACACAAACACGTCATCTTTAAGTGCAACATGACACAGATTACAATTCAGGCACTTTTTAAAACTGTTGATAAGGACCTGATTCTATAAAATTATCATCTATGGCTTTTTATTATACATATTGTTCATTGACATTTATAGATTGAGCCTAAACAATGTGAAACGAGTTAATAGTCCCACCTTTTAGTCCCTCCCCCAGGCCCTTAACCCTTCGAGCAAAAAGGACAGCGCATATCGGGTGAATCCTCCACATATCGCTTCAAAAAGAAAAATTCCAAAGAAAGTAAATAAAACCAGATGTTGGTGGTCAGAGGACTGAGGGGAGAGCGATGGTGGCACGTGTAGGTTAGGATATAAAAACCTCAAACTTCAAAAGTCATCACGAGGTTAAATAAATCGTTTAAAGTAATGAATTTGAATAGCAAAGTTCAAGCTCAATTAAAATGAGAAGATATAATTTTTCTGGATCGCCTCTGGCCATAAGTGGAGAAAATGTGTCCAAAATAATGACATCTATAGCTGAGTGTCTAAACCTTTGTGTACAATAAGCTTTGGTGTATATTATCACTGTTTATCGCAGACAGATAATGCGCCTTGTGTTAAAAACGCTCGTGGTGCCTTTTGTGTGGTGCGTTTCTTACATGCAGTTGTAACACAATGCAAACAGAATCACCGTAACTATCATCCATAACAGTATTTTTTCGCCGAGAAGGAATTCTGAAAAGGAAACATAACCATTAAAATTATGTACTCAATATGATTGCGGTGAAATGTTTCATAAGTCAAATACAACATTTATGGGAGAAATAAAATGATTTGAAGAAAGGAGGAGAGGATAAGTGCTTACTGGTAATTAACCATGTAATTAAGAATACATACACAAGACCACATCACACTTGAGAAAAGGAATCAGTGGTCACAATGGCAAGGCAAAACACAGTCTAACAATATTCTTTTTAGTGCCTGGCATCATCGTACACCAGGGACATATATGAAAGGTACAGGGACCAGTAAACACACCAATAAAACCATATAGAATTCACATTATTTGTATATTTGTATGAGGGTGGTCCTGTCTCTTGCACTTTTTTGCCTGAAAAAAAGGAAAACGGTTCTGAAAATAACACCAGGGCTAAAAAAAAATACACGCACATGAAAACTAGTCGAAGAACCTGACAGTTTTGAGAGCCAGGAAGTAGTATAAAAATAAAAAAAATAATTATTTTTGTGGTTTAAAAATTGTAAATGAATACTTGGAACAAATCATTTACAGAATATCAGAAATATACCCCCTCCCATCTGCAGCTATGGCACAAAAAGATTAAAAAAGCAAGTGTCACAAGAGAAATGCAGTCTGAAAATAGTGGCAGTTACACTCTAGCAGTCTGTCTCAAAACGGAGAAATCTTGACGCAAATGTATTCCTTGTGGTTCAAAAAGTCGCAGGCTTTGGTTTTGCTTACCCATAGTGATAAGCTAGCAGAAGTTGAGATCAGGAACAGTCCTCAATCAGTTATTTTTCTGAGCAAAAGATCACAGCACACAATTCAGGAAAGCATCGAAGCAGCAAGGTGAAACACTGAAACCATGACGACACAAGTTCCTTGGCAACAGCTCATCATCGCAAAATCCAAATATTGCACCAATTTGTTTAGTTACGTAAACAATTTTCATGCCAGCAATATGTAAGGGATAATGTATTTTACCCGGGTCATTATCGGAAAATACAGTGCCTTGCGAAAGTATTCGGCCCCCTTGAACCTTTCAACATTTCGCCACATTTCAGGCTTCAAACATAAAGATATAAAATTTAATTTTTTTTGTCAAGAATCAACAACAAGTGGGACACAATCGTGAAGCGGAACGACATTTATTGGATAATTTAAACTATTTTAACAAATAAAAAACTGAAAAGTGGGGCGTGCAATATTATTCGGCCCCTTTACTTTCAGTGCAGCAAACTCACTCCAGAAGTTCAGTGAGGATCTTTGAATGATCCAATGTTGTCCTAAATGACTGATGATGATAAATAGAATGCACCTGTGTGTAATCAAGTCTCCGTATAAATGCACCTGCTCTTTGATAGTCTCAGGGTTCTGTTTAAAGCACAGAGAGAACCATGAAGACAAAGGAACACACCAGGCAGGTCCGAGATACTGTTGTGGAGAAGTTTAAAGCCGGATTTGAATACAAAAAGATTTCCCAAGCTTTAAACATCTCAAGGAGCACTGTGCAAGCAATTATATTGAAATGGAAGGAGTATCAGACCACTGCAAATCTACCAAGACCCGGCCGTCCCTCCAAACTTTCATATCAAACAAGGAGAAGACTGATCAGAGATGCAGCCAAGAGGCCCATGATCACTCTGGATGAACTGCAGATAACTACAGCTGAGGTGGGAGAGTCTGTCCATAGGACAACAATCAGTCGTGCACTGCACAAATCTGGCCTTTATGGAAGAGTGGCAAGAAGAAAGCCATTTCTCAAAGATATCCATAAAAAGTCTCGTTTAAAGTTTGCCACAAGCCACCTGGGAGACACATCAAACATGTGGAAGAAGGTGCTCTGGTCAGATGAAACCAAAATCGAACTTTTTGGCCACAATGCAAAACGATATGTTTGGCGTAAAAGCAACACAGCTCATCACCCTGAACACACCATCCCCACTGTCAAACATGGTGGTGGCAGCATCATGGTTTGAGCCTGCTTTTCTTCAGCAGGGACAGGGAAGATGGCTAAACTTGATGGGAAGATGGATGGAGCCAAATACAGGACCATTCTGGAAGAAAACCTGTTGGAGTCTGCAAAAGACCTGAGACTGGGACGGAGATTTATCTTCCAACAGGACAATCATCCAAAACATAAAGCCAAATCTACAATGGAATGGTTCACAAATAGACGTATCCAGGTGTTAGAATGGCCAAGTCAAAGTCCAGACCTGAATCCAATCGAGAATCTGTGGAAAGACCTGAAGACTGCTGTTCACAAACACTCTCTGTTTTGCAAGGAAGAATGGGAAAGAATTCCAGTCTCTCGATGTGCAAAACTGATAGACATACCCCAAGCGACTTGCAGCTGTAATTGCAGTAAAAGGTGGCGCTACAAAGTATTAGCGCAAGGGGGCCGAATAATATTGCACGCCCCACTTTTTTTTAAATTATCCAATACATTTCGTTCCACTTCACGATTGTGTCCCACTTATTGTTGATTCTTGACATTTATTTTTATTTTTATATCTTTATGTTTGAAGCCTGAAATGTGGCGAAATGTTGAAAGGTTCAAGGGGGCCGAATACTTTCGCAAGTACCGACAGGGCGAAGCGGACCGCTTCCGCCCTGAAGTGACTCACAGGGATCACAATATTGATTTGGTCACAATATTTTACTTTTACTCTTGAAGACTTTTATCTACTAATTATTCCAATAATTGTCACTGAGATCTTAGTGATGGCTTGGTGGGACAGAACCACTCGGTAAATATGTACATTGAAAACGTTTAAAGAATTTACTGGCAAAAACGGATTTCTAAAAGGGAAATGATCCAACTGTGATGTCATTAAATTCATAAAGAAACAGTCTGGGCAGTGATTTTACAAGATAAATATGGTGCCTCATATTTCTACATATTCCATAACTGTCGGATAAATGAGATGTGTTTTGACCCTTGTTTTTGTTGGGGTTGCTACAGTAACTACCTCTACCTATATGCATGTGTCCAAATAGGAAGTAACTTTACGAATGATTAAACTTATAATCAACTTGTTTATATAATGACAACAAAGGCTTCACTACGTATTTTGTGGCCTGACGCCAGACAATGGCACAATAAGACATGTAGATAAAATCATAGCATGCATGTAAACTTGTGCAGCTTGAACTGATAAACAGGATCTACTGTAATCAACCTGAAACAATTTATTTTTCTTTTTATGGTCTTAGTCATTTTTTTAACATGCCCATCAAAACTTAACTTAGGGTCCAAAATAACACCCAGGTATTTAAACTCCTTAACTTGTTTTATTTTATGTTGATTAACGTTGACCTAATTTCATTGAGTAATTGTTTCTTCACAGAAAAACACATTGAGACAGTTTTATCATAATTCAGTTAAACTGTTATTTTCAACCCATGTTCAGCTAACTGTCTGTTTATTTTTTCTGAGGCCTGTTGAAAGGTGTCTGCTGCACATAAATTATTGTATCATCCGCATACATTTGACAGGTTGTGTCTTTACAAATGTTGGATAGGTCATTAATATACAAGCTGAAAAGCAGCTGACCTAAAATGGACCCTTGTGGTACCCCCAAATCACAACTTTGTATATCAGATTTGGTACCATTTATTTTAACACATTGTTGTCTCAATTCAAGATATTATGTAAACCAATTTATGGTTTGTTTTGATAGATTAAATTGTTTTAATTTTGTCAGCAAAACTAGATGATTTACTGTGTCAAAGGCTTTTCTGAAATCTAAAAATACTGCTCCAACACATTTGCCTTGGTCCAAACTACATTTCGGTTGGATGACTCAGTGTTGGAGTCCTGGTCCAAAATCCAGGTCCGACGCACCTACTCCCATGTGATGACCCATAATGCATCAGTGTCCTACACCTGGGCCTTCCAGAGGACCAACCAGCCCTTAGAGACGCGTCAGTTTGTGAACAACATAGCGCGCATCTACAGCATCACTGTGAGTAACACCGTGGAAGGTGTGTCGTCACGGTGCCGCACCTGTGCCCTCAGCTCCTAGCCCTCCTCCTCCCCCTTTGCCAGCGTGCCCTGCCACCCTACATCCACCCGGACTGCCCCACGCCATGCCCGGGCCGGACGCGTGCCAGCCGTGCGGGCCGGCCAGCAAGAGCGACAAGGAGCACAGCCGGTGCTACAGCGACTGCCGAATGCAAAGACAACGTGACGGACCTGTCCCTGTACGAGTCGGAGGGAGGCAAACCCGAGGGCGGCGCGTCTGTTCGAGCCTTTGTCTGTCAATCAACCATCATCCCAGCTGGTGGGCGGGGCTTCCACACCTCGCTGTCCTCTCAGTCCATCACGTTGGTCGACACCTTCCTGGGAGCCACAGTGGAGACCACACTGGGAGACATCACTGCTCGACCGGACCTGTTTCCAGACGCCAAACACCAACTGCCTAATATCATCATCTACTACAGGTCCTCAGATGTGACGGCGTCCTGTATGGCGGGCCGGAGCCTAGTGCTTCTCCTGCGCTGTGACCCGGACATGAGCCCCCAGGGAGACGTCACTGTGCCCAGTCCGTGCCCGGCCGGGACGTGCGACGGCTGCAGCTTCCACTTCTTATGGCGGAGCTCTGGAGCCTGTCCCCTGTGCTCCCATCATGACTCCCACCGGATAGAGGGGGCCTGCAAACACGGACTACAGGGGGTGGTGTGGGTGTGGAAGGAGCCTCGCGTCTGTGTGGGGAAGCAGACCCTCCCCTGTGACAGTGTGGAGGGTAACACTTTACATTACGGGCCGGTAAGTCCATGGTACTTACAGTGGTACTTCTAGGTACTTACAGTGGTACTTCTAGGTACTTACAGTGGTACTTACGGTGGTACTTACGGTGGTACTTACGGTGGTACTTACGGTGGTACTTACGGTGGTACTTACGGTGGTACTTACAGGGGTACTTACGGTGGTACTTACGGTGGTACTTACGGTGGTACTTACAGTGGTACTTACAGTGGTACTTACAGTGGTACTTCTAGGTACTTACAGTGGTACTTCTAGGTACTTACAGTGGTACTTACGGTGGTACTTACGGTGGTACTTACGGTGGTACTTACGGTGGTACTTACGGTGGTACTTACGGTGGTACTTACAGGGGTACTTACGGTGGTACTTACGGTGGTACGTTACGGTGGTGGTACTTACGGTGGTACTTACGGTGGTACTTACAGTGGTACTTACAGTGGTACTTACAGTGGTACTTCTAGGTACTTACAGTGGTACTTCTAGTGGTACTTCTAGGTACTTATTGTGGTACTTACAGTGGTACTTCTAGGTACTTACAGTGGTACTTAGAGGTACTTATTGTGGTACTTACAGTGGTACTTCTAGGTACTTATTGTGATAATTCTAGATACAGCTGTAACTTAGTAATTCAAGGACACTACAGTATTATTCCTATGTAGTAAATGTGGTACTTCTACATACATACATACAGAGGTCATTTGTAGGATTGTTTGACTATAAAACATAAAACAACATTATGTAAAACAAACGTCTTTATTAATATGGAATAAGTAGCACAGAAAGGACAGTATAAATACATGTAATGCATATTTCAAAACAAGTTTCAAGGACAAGGGAAACACTGCAAGAACTAGGTACCCAACCCAAGTAACAAGAATTACACATTACCAGGTACTTACCAGCCAAGTACCAGGTACTTACCAGCAAGTACCAGGTACTTACCAGCAAGTACCAGGTACTTAACAGCAAGTACCAGGTACTTACCATAGGGACTGGCCCATAATAAGACAAAGGACTTTAACATAAGTACCAGTGATAACACCAGTAATTATACAGTAAGTACCAGGTACTTACCATAGGGACTGGCCCATAATAAGACAAAGGACTTTAACATAAGTACCAGTGATAACACCAGTAATTATATAGTAAGTACCAGGTACTTACCATAGGAACTGGCCCATAATAAGACAAAGGACTTACCCATAAGTACTAGTGATACCAGTAATTATATAGTATACCATGTACTTACCAGCAAGTACCAGGTACTTACCAGCAAGCACCAGGTACTTACCAGCAAGTACCAGGTACTTACCAGCAAGTACCAGGTACTTACCAGCAAGTACCAGGTACTTACCAGCAAGTACCAGGTACTTAACAGCAAGTACCAGGTACTTACCAGCAAGTACCAGGTACTTACCAGCAAGCACCAGGTACTTACCAGCAAGTACCAGGTACTTACCAGCAAGTACCAGGTACTTACCAGCAAGTACCAGGTACTCACCAGCAAGTACCAGGTACTTAACAGCAAGTACCAGGTACTTACCAGCAAGTACCAGGTACTTGCTGGTAAGTACATGGTATACTATATAATTACTGGTATCACTAGTACTTATGGGTAAGTCCTTTGTCTTATTATGGGCCAGTTCCTATGGTAAGTACCTGGTACTTACTATATAATTACTGGTGTTATCACTGGTACTTATGTTAAAGTCCTTTGTCTTATTATGGGCCAGTCCCTATGGTAAGTACCTGGTACTTGCTGTTAAGTACCTGGTACTTGCTGTAGTACTGTACTTGCTGTTAAGTACCTGGTACTTGCTGGTAAGTACCTGGTACTTGCTGGTAAGTACCTGGTACTTGGCTGGTAAGTACCTGGTAATGTGTAATTCTTGTTACTTGGGTTGGGTACCTAGTTCTTGCAGTGTTTCCCTTGTCCTTGAAACTTGTTTTGAAATATGCATTACATGTATTTATACTGTCCTTTCTGTGCTACTTATTCCATATTAATAAAGACGTTTGTTTTACATAATGTTGTTTTATGTTTTATAGTCAAACAATCCTACAAATGACCTCTGTATGTATGTATGTAGAAGTACCACATTTACTACATAGGAATAATACTGTAGTGTCCTTGAATTACTAAGTTACAGCTGTATCTAGAATTATCACAATAAGTACCTAGAAGTACCACTGTAAGTACCACAATAAGTACCTCTAAGTACCACTGTAAGTACCTAGAAGTACCACTGTAAAGTACCACAATAAGTACCTAGAAGTACCACTAGAAGTACCACTGTAAGTACCTAGAAGTACCTAGAAGTACCACTGTAAGTACCACTGTAAGTACCACTGTAAGTACCACCGTAAGTACCACCGTAAGTACCACCGTAAGTACCCCTGTAAGTACCACCGTAAGTACCACCGTAAGTACCACCGTAAGTACCACCGTAAGTACCACCGTAAGTACCACCGTAAGTACCACCGTAAGTACCACTGTAAGTACCTAGAAGTACCACTGTAAGTACCTAGAAGTACCACTGTAAGTACCACTGTAAGTACCACTGTAAGTACCACTGTAAGTACCACCGTAAGTACCACCGTAAGTACCACCGTAAGTACCCCGTAAGTACCCCTGTAAGTACCACCGTAAGTACCACCGTAAGTACCACCGTAAGTACCACCGTAAGTACCACCGTAAGTACCACCGTAAGTACCACCGTAAGTACCACCGTAAGTACCAACGTAAGTACCACCGTAAGTACCACCGTAAGTACCACCGTAAGTACCACCGTAAGTACCCCTGTAAGTACCACCGTAAGTACCACCGTAAGTACCACCGTAAGTACCACCACCGTAAGTACCACCGTAAGTACCACCGTAAGTACCACCGTAAGTACCAACGTAAGTACCACCGTAAGTACCACCGTAAGTACCACCGTAAGTACCACCGTAAGTACCCCTGTAAGTACCACCGTAAGTACCACCGTAAGTACCACCGTAAGTACCACCGTAAGTACCACCGTAAGTACCACCGTAAGTACCAACGTAAGTACCACCGTAAGTACCACCGTAAGTACCACCGTAAGTACCACCGTAAGTACCACCGTAAGTACCACCGTAAGTACCACTGTAAGTACCTAGAAGTACCACTGTAAGTACCTAGAAGTACCACTGTAAGTACCATGGACTTACCGGCCCGTAATGTAAAGTGTTACCGAAGAACAAGAGCCTGGAGTACAAATACTCTCGGCTGGTCATGTGTCCTGCCTGGAGCCGACAGCTGTGCCATGATGGAGGGCGAGACCGAGGGAGAGCCAGAGGATGACGTCACCTATTCCAAACCATCGCTCATCGGCAAACTCAAGGCAAGGGAAATGGTGAACACTACGAAAACGTGCAGCTCAACTCATCACCGTCCAAAGCGCTGGTGTGGAGCTAAACCACACCCAATGTAAGACTGCACCGGAGAGAAAGAGCCCGCCTCCTCATGCCAGCTCCGCCCCCAAACTCTCCCTGCTATTACCACGGACACACAGAGGGAGCAAGGGGCGGGGCGTCCCGAATTAGCTCAGGGAACGACGCAGACCTTTGTGTTTGTCATTATTGCATTTCCTGTGTGTTATTATTTCATTTCCGGTTGTTGGCAAATCAAGAACTTTTGAGACGACTGCTGTTGTGATTTAGGGCTAAACAAAAATACGTTGACTTGACTTGACGTGAATTACAAGCACAAATTGGGTTGCCATTGGCAGCGGTCATTATTGGTTTCAGAGGTCCGTTATCAATAAATAATGGCTGGTATCACGTTTTGAAATTACATTCAAGTCAACGGGGGGGTTTTACTTCTACTGTGAAGAGCCGAATAATGACAAAAGTTTAAAACCAGGCTCCTATAGAGAGAACACGCACACTTAAAGAGTGAGCAACGATGTGATCACTCTTCATAGGTCCAAAGGTACTGACGCCACCTGTGTGTGTGTGTAACTGTGTGTGATTGTGGGCTTGTGTTTGGGAATATGTCTGTGATTGTGTATTTGCCCTGTGTGTATCTGCTGACTGCACATGGTATGTGCTTGTGTTATTTTATACCCACCTGTACGTGGAGTGTTCTTCCCTGCCGGGGGACTACGGATGCAAATTAGCCTAAGGCTAACTCCGGTACAATGCATAAAATGGAAACATTTATGTTCTAATTGTACACTGTCCCTTTTAAATAAATAAAAAAAATTAAAATACTACCTATTGGCTGCAGGGCTCACACTCCCTCACATATAGGGACTGAATTCAGATACGCACACTTTGTAGAAGAGAACAGGGCAAACTCATTCCAGACAAGTACACTTCATGTTGCATGTTGCACCTTTTGCCCATAACAATTGAATCATACCTGCTTCTGCGCAATATTACGGAACTATTACAGAACTATAAAGCATTCATGCAAGCGTGAACTTCAGTTGAGTCTAAAGCTGGAGAGTCTTGTTTAAGAAACACGTGAACACGTCAGAGCACAACAGTCTTTATTTTATTAGAGAAGATCTCGTCTTTGACAAACTGAGGGCTGCGTGAGGGCTGCTTCTCTGCTTTTGCAGTAGCATGTGACATTTTACATTGAATGTATTGTATTGTTTTCTGAGATAATTCTCTTCACACAGTTTTAAGAATAAGTATCATTGGGCAGATTTTGTTCTCAACATTAAAAAAGTTTAAAGAAAAAGTGAACCATCTTGACTCATAGCAAAGGCACAGGTCCCATCTCACAGTGTCCCCTCCTCACACTGTTTCTGATACGCCGAACAGCAGAATTTGTCGTCCGGGTCAGTATCAGGCTCTGGCAGAAAGGAGGATTTAATGTGCCTGTAGCAGAGGAAAAAACAAACACGTCATTTTTAAGTGCAACATGACACAGATTACAATTCAGGCACGTTTTAAAACTGTTGATAGGAACCTGATTCTATAAAATTATCATCTATGGCTATCATCTATGTGAAACGACGAGTTACTAGTTCCACCTTTTAGTCCCTCCCCCAGGCCCTTCACCCTTCGAGCAAAAAGGACAGCGCATATCGGGTGAATCCTCCACATATCGCTTCAAAAAGAAAAATGCCTAAGAAAGTAAATAAAAGTAAAAGGTGTTGGTGGTCAGAGGACTGAGGGGAGAGCGATGGTGGCACGTGTAGGTTAGGATATTTAAACCTCAAACTTCAAAAGTCATTATGAGGTTTAAGAAATCGTTTAAAGTAATGAATTTGAATAACAAAGTTCAAGCTCAACCGATTCGAGGAGAAGATATATTTTTCTGGATCGCCTCGGCAATGAGTGGAGAAAATGTGTCCAAAATAATGACATCTATAGCCGAGTGTCTAAACTTTTGTGTACAATAAGCCATGGTGTTATATTATCGCTGTACATCACAGACAGATAATGAGCCTTGTGTTAAGATTGTGGTCGTGTCTTTTGTATTGTGCGTTTCTTACATGATGGAGAAGTTGTAACACAATGCAAACAGAATCACCACACACCAGATCCATATCAGCATTTTGTCAATGTGAAAGTCCTCTGAAAAGGAAACGTAATCATTAAAATTATGTACTCAATATGATTGCAGTGAAATGTTTCAGGAGTAAAACACAACATTTATGGGAGAATTAAAATGATTTGAAGAAAGGAGGAGAGGATAAGTGCTTACCGGTAATTACCCATGTAACCTCGTCTGAAAAAAAGAAAAACGGTTCTAAAAATAAGACCAGGGCTAAATACACGCATATGACAACTACGTTTTCTGTTTTGACGACCAGGAAGTAGTTAAAAATGTACTTATTTTTTGTGTAGTTTAAAAATGGTAAATGAATACTTAGAACAAATTATTTACAGAATATCAGCTAAATACCCCCTGCTATCTACAGCAAAAAGATTAAAAAAAGGACAAATACAGCCTGGAAATAGTGGCAGTTACTAGCTATAGCAGTCTGTTAGCATACTAAGCTAACTTCAAATAGAGAAATCTTGACGCAAATGTAATCTTTGTGGTTCAAACAGTCGCGGGCTTTGGTTTTGCTTACCCATAGTGACGAACTAGCAGAAGTTGAGATCGGGAACAGTCCTCAATCAGTTATTTTTATGAGCAAAAGATCACAGCACACAATTCACGAAAGGATCAAAGAGCAAATACGAAAAACAGCAAGGTGAAACACTGAAACCATGACGACCAAAGTTCCTTGGCAACAGCTCATCATCGCAAAATCCAGATATTGCACCAATTAGTTTAGTTACGTAAACAATTTTCATGCCAGCAATATTTAAATATAATGTGTAATTATGAATCTTTGTCTCCAATCTCTTTTATATTGTACAGTAATACATGTGGCAACGGTCGAAGCATCTTTCTCATTGCATTTAAAGCGATGGGTTGCTGAACTTTTTTCTCATTTAATACATTTTAACATTTAATTTGGACAGAAAGAATCTTGTAAATGTAAAATGTTGTTAAAAAAAAATCAGACCACAACATGCTGTCTTCATCTTGATAGAAATGAGATTATAAAGAGCCCAGTGAGTGAGGTTGGTCTCCTTCTGGTCCTGATCTAAAGATGTGAGAGAGGTCAGATGTCTTCATGTGAAAATTTGTGATAGAACCGCACTTTTGAGTGAGGAAGTACGCATTATAACATATTTCCATTGTTTGTGGTTGGAAAGTTGTGTCCCAGCTGCCTTGTGTATGAACTCATGGTAATTAGCATTGTCGTGTTTTTGTTTGTTTTGTGAATGAGGAGCGAACAAACTAAGGTTGTTATTGTCATGCTCTTGTTCTCTTTTCCCATTGTTTGTCCAAGAAATAAATCTAATACTAATCTAATCTAACTGTGCTATACAAATAAACTTGCCTTGCCAGTCATTTCAACAGTTTTTTACATCTTCTATGAGAAAAAAAAATGAAAATGTAGAATAAAACTCTCTGAGTTTGTAGCAGGTGGAATTGTAAAAGTAGCTTCTGTGATCTTTTCTGTCCTTTATGTCAGTTTGTCAGGCACCAGTAAATATTAAGCAGATTTGCAGACTGTATTTTTGCTGTCAGAGTCAAACACTGCGTTCTCCTCCACACTGTATAATCACATTTATTCTGTTTAAAGCTGGGGTACCTAACTTTTAAACCACGCAATAGTAAAATGTAATCAATTAAGTTTGCTCTCAAAACAGTTTGGTTTTGTCATATGAACGTTTTTTGGGCCTCTGTCACAACTCTAGTTCAGATTTTTTCAGACGGTAAAGGGAAAAAGAGAGAACCACCCTCACTCAGCCAATTAGAGTGCAGCCTAAAGCGTCAAAAAGTGACTCACAGGGCTCATTGCAGAAATAACATTGTTGTGGTCTGAACGTTGAAAACGTTTAAAGAATGTACTGGCAAAAACGGATTTCTAAAAGGGATATATAATATAATAATAATAATAATATAATGGAAATAATCCAACTGTGATGTCATTAAATTCATTAAAAAAGCAGTCTGGGCAGTGATTTTACAAGATAAATATGGTGCCTCATATTTCTACATATTCTATAACTGTCCGATAAAGATGTGTTTTGGCCCTTGTTCTTGTTAGGGTTGCTATAGTAACTACCTCTACCTACATACGCATATGTCCAAATAGGAAGTACCAACATTATTATATTGATTCCATCCATCCATCCATTTTCTACCCTTTAATCCATTTCTGGGTCAGGGGGGTGGCAGTCAGAGATGCCACCCAAGTCTCATAACACCAGCCCCTCACTGACCCTCTGCAGGTGGTGAGTCCACAGGAGGACGGCTGCTCTCTGAGTGTGAGCATAGCCTTGATCTTTCAGTGGGGGCTTTGGGCAAAGTGGGGTTAAGTGTCTTGCCCAAGGACACAACGACAGCAATCATCAGTGGGAGTCGGTGGAGAAGGTGTAGAGGTGGGAATTGAACCCACAACCTTCAGGCCTAAGGGCCAATGCTCTACCAACTGAGCTACTGTCGCCCATTATATTGATTCATCTTCTAAATATATAATAATTAATCAGAGACTTTCATCAGTCCACAATATTTGGCTTTCTTTCTTTGGCTTTAGTCCAGCTTTGGTTCAATCAAAGCAAGAATTTAAATTAAAGACAACTAATACTAAAAGATTAAGACAACTAAATTAGTAAATCAAGAAATAATGTCCTCAATGTATGTCCTATATTTTAAAATACTAAAACTAAGTTATAGCCTTAGATGCAAGAGAACACACTTGAAGTCAGGCTCTCCTCGATATATACTGATATTCTAAAAGTGGCCCCCCTGGAGGAAATAATTGCCCATAAATGTTCTAGACTAACCCAGACATGGGAAAACTTCTCCTTCCGAGGGCCACACTGGAACATCAGCCCACTGGACCCTCCAATGTTTTTCTCAGGCTCAGTTTTATTACACATAAATATACAGTGCCTTGCGAAAGTA